TGTGTGTATGTGTGTGTGTGTGTGTGAGAGAGAGAGAGAGAGAGAGAGAGAGAGAGAGAGAGAGGGAGAGAGAGAGAAGGAGAGATCTTAGTAATATGGACAACTCTTGTACAGTTTTCATGTCTTTCAACCCCAACTCTTTCTATGTGCATTTGCATCCCAACCCATTCTACCCTGCCTGTGACCAGCTTCATACATTCAATGGCAGCACCTCAGTCTAAACAGTGTATTCTTATTCCTGTCATGCCAGTCCTCTAATACTGGGATGTGGGACATTTGTCGGAACATGCATGTAGCACATATAACCTAAAATTTCAGAGGAGTTAATGACCATAGGGCTTCTCTTGGAAGAAAAATAAGACAAACAACCAAACAATGTTAAATAGACATTTCAAACTGCATTCTAAATATTTATATTTACACCTACAGATTGAAGCTGTTTTCAACCTTGAGTCAGAGCTAAGACTCTAGTATGGGCAACAGTTAATACAGAGACTCCTAACTAATCAAAGTGTGAATAATAAGTGAATGCTGAGTGCTTATCCCCGAATAGGACATCTATTTCAACACCCCCTAAGACTCAGGGAACATCATATAAGAGGGGTAAGAAAGAATGTAAGAGCCAGAGGAGGAGGCCTGTCACAAAACTGTCTTCTGGATATGACATGACCATTGTACTCAGCAGTCACAGCAACCTGCATAAGACCTTCTCAAGATCAAGTCAGTCAATGTTTCATCATGGATGGCAGAGGGGCTCCCTATCCTTAGCTGGGGAGCTAATGGAAGCTGATGATTGTTGGGGGAGAGGAAGTAGTTTTTCTCTAAGGGTATGGCCACTAGTAGATTGTCCACACTTACCTGGATGGCAGATTCACACCATTGTATATATAGGCAACACTAACTGGACTCAGTGACTTATTTTTTTTTTAAAAAAAGAAAGAGCTGAAGCTGGGAAGAAGACATTGTTGGGGACCAGAGGGTTCAGGATGGGCAATGGGGGGTGAACATGCTCAAGATACATTGTATACATGCATGAAGTTGTCAAAGAATAAATAAAAATTACTTTAAAAGGAAAAAAGGAAAAGAAAGAAATTTGAACAAAACAAAATCAAGTTAAAACATCAGTCACCTACAATGTAGTGAGCTTGACAATGCAATACTGTATACTTAGCTTTCCTCTCCTTCTCAGTGTCACTTCCCAAGTCTTTTACTCCCATTCCTTAGGACCACTTCCTGAATAAACTATCTGCCTCTCTAAAACTGGGATTTCAGGGATACCAGGGATAAAGTGTTGGAACCAGGTCTGGCTCACAGAAAGGTGAAACAAGGGAACTTTAGAACTGGATCACTTACCAGTCTTGTAGCAAGAAGGGCTCCATTGTTTATGGTGAATGGTTGGTAGCAATATCTAGTATAGATTAAAATCACAGTGACTCTCAGTTGTGATAAGTTGGGTTGGGATTGGTAACACAGTATTAGAGAAATATAATTTCTTCTTTAGGATGGCATAACTACAAAAGTAAGGGATATGAGCACATAAAGGGAAAGAGGCACCGAGAGAGGAGAGAAGAGACAGAGAGAGAGAGAGAGAGAGAGAGAGAGAGAGAGAATGGTCAGTGGCCTCATAGGCATCTCTGGATTCCATACTAATAACACTTCAAAGAGTGCTCCTTGAAATTTAGCCTCAGTAGTGGCCAACATTAACTAGAGACTGAGAGACAGTCTTGGAGTATTGAGGCTTGAGGGGTAGGAAGGCTAGAACAGATGTATTATATAGAATCATAAAAACTCATTTGCTGACTATTTTTTCAGACATACACACATAAAGACATTTCATCAAGGCATTCAGGAATGCACTGGTGAAAGGTCAGTGACATGGCATAAAGATTGTACAATGGCAGAAGGCAATTCAGCATCAGAAGTAAGATTGACATGATTATTACAATATGAAACAAGGTTGATCCAGAGTGGTCTGGCATTATTAGGAGCAATGTGTATAAAGACCATAACTAGTGTTTTCCTTGTTTTCAGACCAAGAACTAGTAAGCAGAAATCTGCTCTCAACTGTTACTTTGGAATAAATCAGTGTTCCTCATTCAAGTCTCAGATCTAAGTCAGTTAATTCATATGATCCAAACCCATGGACTGATGAGGAAGCTGGGAAAACTTGAGAGGTTTGCATTATCCTTCCTCAATGCTACCTAAATCCAATTACAGGTACTCTGCCCTTGGCAAAGTGTAATATCTAGACCTGCAAGGATGACTGAACATAGAGTATCCCTCAACCAACAGAGGAATAAAAACATGATCACACCTAGTGATTATGAGGAGCTAATACTAGAAGATTAAAAATATGGATCTTTATTAAAATGTAGATTAATGGAAGTTGGGCAATAAGTGTACTTCTAACCCCAGCTCATTTCCATTTGGTTCTCAGACCAATCCTGTGGTTATTTTTCTGGTCCCTAAGTACATAACTAGGCTTCATGTCATTGGTAGATATCAGAACTCTCACTTTGCGTCTCTGGTTAGTGAAGCATGAATCAACTTTAAATAGCCAAATGTAAATTTCATATGCTACCACACCCCTCCCCAAAGAGTAAAATAGAAACAAGGCTGTATTCCTGAAATCAGAAGCACCATTAATAACTTAAAAGATGAAAGATGCTCACAGTTATTTCCCATCCAATGGGAATTTGGCCATTGATAAAAACAGTTTCACGCCTCATTGTGAGCACTGAGTAGTAGCCTTAATCACTGTTACTCTACTAAATATGTTGTCCTCACTAAAGAGATCACATAGACTCTGGTAATCTTGGCATGTGACTGAAGTTTGGAAATGCTATGCAGCAGTTGAATGGGTCTTTCTTATCCTATTGGAAGGGAAAAGCAAAAGCCCTTGTTTGGGTTTGGTAAAGATACCAGCTCAAACTCACTGTCTTGCTCTGGGGTGATGACAACTCTAGTGCTCTGTCATAATCTATAGAGACTTTATCACCTTGATATACTAGAGAATTTTATGCTGTTTGATTACATTGATAACATCATGTTGATACTAGACCTGATTTTCAGGAATCACTTAACCTACTAGGAGATGTGGATCATTGGGCAGAGATTGAATTCCTCTGTCACTGCCTCAGCTGAAAGTTTGTCCTTTCTATTTCTTTTTTGGGGGGAAATAAACTGGTAGCATTCAAGCAACTCTCCTTTGCAGGAATATGATGTCAATCTTTGTCAATAGAGGGCACTGGATGAACATTGTAGGAGAAAGGGGGTTCTCCTATTAGTCCCATTGTGCTGCTGTTTTGCTTTTTGTTCCTACTGTGCAGTTTGTGTATGTGTGTGTGTGTGTGTGTGTGTGTGTGTAGGGAACATCCACTGATGCTTTACCATGGCTGGGCCCCACCCACCTCCTATCACACATTTCTTGTGGAGTTTGCAGCCTTAGCTTAGCTCTAATAACTGCCTTGCTGTGGCATTTCAGATAGGAACACAATGACTGTGGACCTTATGCTGTCTTACTTATGAGCAAGCTCTTAATACCCTGGCTCACTGTGTCTTCTCAACCTCTGGCCTTTGCTCCTCTACAGCCTGGAGGGCTTCTTCCCCCACACAAATTCTACATATCATGGGCATCCTGCCCTTAGTTGTTTGTTCCTTACATGTATACCATGCCTCAACCCTAGAATCTTCTTTAGAGTTCTGTTTCAAGCTTTATAGTTATTCTCCTGATATAGTTAAATATTTTAGATATGAAGTATTTCTTATTCAAATTACTGTGAGTTTCTAGCATTATACTTTTTTAATTAATGTTTTTATTTTATATGTATGCGTGTATTGCCTGTATGTATGTAAGTTCACCCGTGTCATGTAATGCTCACAGAGGTCAGGAAGAGAGCATCAGATCCCCTGGAGCTGGAGTCACAGGCGGTTGTTCACTGCTGTGCGGGTGCTGGGAATCAAACCCAGGCCCTTTGCAAAAGCAGCCAGTGCTCTTAACTGCTAAGCCATCTCTCCAGCCCCATGATAATACTCTTATTTATTTAATCACACAAAAATTCAAATATTTTCTACTTCAGTAACTACATTAGATTAAATGACATAGAAGAACATTCTGTATATGTAAAGAAAAAATACTGCATCTCAACATCCTTACCATTAGAAAGAATGGGGAACTTCAGATATGAACACAAGGACCTTATGTTATCCTCCTGGTGGACAGGTGGTTCTCACTGGGCTTTTAAGGAAGTGTATATACTATACATGTAGGAACATTTCTCCCATCTTCTTATAGTAAGACTTGAAAAAGCTTTCAAATTTGAGAAGGTCCCAGTGAAGAATGCATTCTGCTTTGGATATAGGCTGTGGTTTAAACTATGTGCCATTCTAACACAAATTTCACTGTCAGGGAAAATCATGCTGTGTAGAGTCTCAGGCCCAGTTGGAGTGCTATAGCACAGACTATGGGGATTCTGGAATCAGGTTGTGACTTCTGTGGCAGAGGCTATATGCCACTTAAAAAAATAGCTCCTTGTATGCTATTTGTCCCTGGATAAAATGAAGCACAGAATTGTGAATCATTGAGCACGTAATCAAAGTCAAAGATTAAATCACCAAAATTCCCATCATGAATTGGATTTTTTAAGATTCATTCAGTCATAAGTGTGGCTAGGCTTGGTAGTAACTGACTGTATGCTGAAATAGCACATTGAAAGTTAAGTCCGCATAAGTTCAAAAGGCCTGGAGAAAATTGCCTGGTAAGGTGGTTTAGATGCCCATGGCTTTTACTACTACTGCACCAACTTCTCTCTAACAGCTGACACACTTGGCCTCAAAAAGAGTTCCCTACAGCC